AAAACTCTTCTGGATGAAGATCCATGGATAAAGAATATTTGAAGATGAGTGTGAATGCGTTCCCATTGTTGACATGCTTTTGTACAAATAAAAAGCATAGAAAATTCAATATTGCTCTTTATATCTGTTTTTTTTTTTCTTGATTTCATTCAGCTATGTCCAAAAATAGACGTGATTAACGTTATAGTGGCATGCGTGCAGTTATTAGTGAAAATTGATTTATTTACGTGCAGTGCCACTCTTGAAACAAGCTAGCAGCAGCATTTCTGGAATAGACAAGGTCCGCCGATGATTCGCCGCACACTTACACACCACTGAATGGCCTCACATCGTGAGCCTATACGGAGAGCACATTTTGCTGTTGGGCCGACTTTCACAATACAGGCTCTTTATTCAGTGCATGGTTGTGACATTGGTGGCCCCAAGAACGACCAAGCTGCACTTTTAATTCGCAGGCACGACTATTGCCAGTAGCAGACGTTTCCTCCCCCCCCATCCGAACTTTGATGCAGTTTGGCGCAATTGTCGTCAATATTACCAGGGTTGCAGAGTAAATCTGATTTGGTGTGGTTGGTGCAGCAGTAGAATCACTGAAATCAGTGAGACTATTGATGGCATGCTTTCTATAACAGAGGCACATGCAGTGAGTGGCACAAACTTTGGTTAAGCTGAATATGATGACAAAAAGAGCATTGCTGTAATTAAGCAAGTAGAGAGCATCAGGGGCATTATGGAAAAGCTTTAGCTGTGTTTAAGATAGGAAAAGTAGACAACCACCTGTTTGTGGCACGAAGTCACAAGAAAATCCCCACACCAGCACAAATTTTTTGGCAATTAAGAAGCTTTGCTTTCTGAGAAAAACGCACGGTTTTCCTTACGACTTCGTACCACAAACAGGTGGCTGTCTACTTTACCTTCCCTAACCCTTCTGCCACCTTACGGGTTTCAGCAGAACTCATATGCATTACTTGTGTCCATGTGCTTCAAGTTGTCAATGAATGCACCCTCATGCTGCCGATTGCTAGCTTTCCGGTTAGCTCAATTGGTAGAGCGACCGCCCAAGAAAGGGATTGGTCCCAGGTTTGATCCTCGGACCAGGACGAAAATTTCCGCAACTAAAAAGCTTTTCTTTCTGAGAAATTCATATATATTTCTATGTGGCTTCATGCCACAAACAAATGGTTGTCCGCTTTTTCATTCTTAACCCTTCTGCCACACCTTGCGGGTCTCCGCAGAACTCATTTGCATTTGTAGCTGTGTTTGTTACCAGAACATTATTATTTTTTGGCCATAAACGGTCCAAAGCAGTGTAAACAGGTGGACTGGTGAAATTCTGCACGCTTGGCGCAAGCTGTACTTGGAATGTGCACAGCAAATCACAGGTATATGTGATTGTAGCAAAATGGCACAATTGGTGCAATTGGACCACCACTGTGTGTCACATGGCCAGTGGTGCCATTTTAGGGCAGTAACAAGTCATGCGATTTTCTGAAATGTCCCATGACTTGCGGCAGAGCTGAGTTAATCTTATTTTATCACACAACCACCCTGTTTTCCTCACCTTGGCCAGTGAACCTCATGCTTCGGCTATTCACATCCTTTCATACTGCCTGGCGGACTTTCCCCCTGTGCCCTAAAGAACTGAAACAGCTGGCAGCATGAGGAGGCCCTACTGCATTCAGAGAACCCAGTTGAGCAGACTATGGATGCCGACTGAGCTGCCAGCACCATGGACCAACACCAAATGAACCTTTGAGCACAACGGCGTCATGCGGGGGCCCAAGAGCCTGTGTGTTCCTTCATACAATAAATAAAGCTGTTCTCTTCCTCCATCAGCTTTATGAGGTCGGGTCAAGTGATCTCAGCTTCTATTCAGCAGGACCACAATTGAGCATGCCATCAATTCAAAGCCATTTGCTGTGCTAACTGTACCTTTTTCCATTCTTAGTGGTATTCTGTGGCCCATAGCCATATTTATGATGATGATACAGTTGAAACCCGCAATAAGGAAATCGGCGGGGAAGCACAAAATTTCGTTAATGCAAGAATGCGGCAGAAAAGACATAAAATTTACAAAAAAAACATTTTATTTCCAAAAGTCAGTAAGTTTACTTTGGCGAGCCTTAGCATGCAGCGATTTCATGCCTCTCGACTCACACTGTAAGAAATAGTCCATCGCCACGTCGTTGTCGTGCTCGCCTGAAAACGTGCGAATTGTGTCGAAGGCATTCAGCACATCCTGCAGACTTGTTGTTTTCTCTGGCTGCTCCGGTCGCTGCTCATCGGGATCGGTCACCTCGCACACGCTACTGATGGTGGCTTCATCAGTCACTTCTTCGTGCCCGACGACGCCTTCGTCCGCGCAAACGAACTCATGGACGCTGAGGCCATTGGAAATCTCGTTTGACACAGCACAAAGTTCGCCCCATGCACTGGTCAGTGACGGCGGCACTGCACTGTTACCAGTACTGTCATCAAGTGCGCCTATAGGCGAACCTTCTTCCGGTTCTGCCGGATCAGTGCATGATGCCTGCGGAGTGACAAGGCCGGCGCGTGTGAAGCAATTGTTATCACGGCTGGACTCGTCACAATCCATGCAGTGGCGATCATCTCAAGCACTATGAACAAGTCCCCGTCAGTGGGGCGTTTCATATGTATATTCAGCAGCAAACGCTGAATCTGCCTCTCTCTGTAAGCGCACTTCACACTGCGAATAACTCCCTGATCGAGAGGCTGCAGCACCGAAGTGCAGTTTAGTGAGAAAAACACGAGGTGCATGTTTCTGAGCTGCACGTCGACGTGATGGGCGCTACAGTTGTCGAGAAGAAGGCAGACTGACCTGTTTGTCTTCCGCATGTCGGCATCGAAGGACTGCCAGCCGCTAAAAATAGCCCACGTCATCCACGACTTCAAGTTCGTGGTGTAGCTTACTGGCAGCCAGTGATTCCCTTTGAAACAGCGGGGTTTCTTGCTCCTGCCAGTAACGAGCAGTGGCCGTTTGTCTGTGCCATTCATGTTGGTGCACAATATAATCGTCACGCGCCGCTTGCTGTGCTTGCCACTGTGGCACTTCTGGCCCTTGAAGTCCAAGGTCTTGGATGGCAGAATTTTATAAAACAATGCAGTTTCATCGGCATTATATCTGTCCGAGGGCTTGTACTGGCCGAGCAGTTCTTTGTCGCTCAGCAGCCACACCGAGGTTGTCATCAAGTCGACAGCTGCTGTCTCCCCGGAGATGACTTTGGCCACGATGTCGTGGCGAGTTTTGAAACGGCTCAACCAGCCGGGACTCGCCTTAAATTTGTCGTGGCTGAGCATACAAGCGAAGTCCAGCGCCTTCTGTTGCAGGATCCTGCCAGATAAAGGCACCTTGTTGGCACGTTGTTCACAAAACCACGCGAAGACCGCCTTGTCCACGTCCGGGAACGCTGCAGCCGTCACGGTTTTGTGTGCCGTGTTCAAATGCACTAAGAATAGAGGCCTCATTCTTGAGAATCGTGGACAACGAGCTGCAAGCAATGCAGAATTCTTCGGCGATGTCCAATTTTTTCTGCCCTTTTCCACCTCGCTGATGATTGCAGCCTTATCTTCCAGAGTGATAAACTTCCGCTTTTTCTTTGAGCGTGACATCTTCGCAGGCAGCGAAATCGAATGAAGCAATCGCAACACACGGTTCACGCTGCACCAAGCGACCAAGCAAACTCTCCACAAATGGCTCCACACACGCGACCATGTGTGCGCAAAGCCGACAAAGCCAAGCACAGAGCCAAGCCAACGAATGACACTCCATGAGGACTGTGGCTTTGGCTCGTACATAGTCCGCGATAATGACCAGGTGTTTCGGCAAGCCACCATCATCATCATTGACGCGAGCCTTAAGTTTTTTTTTTTTTTTTTAAACAATGATGGCGGCTGCTTTTCAAGTGCGCTTACCGATAGTTTTGCACAATTTAAGTGTAGCATGAATGCACTTCAGCAGACTTCAAATGTAAATGTTGCGAGAACAGATTATTTGCACACTCGTGTTCCAAAAATTTCGTTAATGAGGGACTGCGGTATGAATATTTTTCGTAGTCGCGAGTTACGAAATGCATTGACTCCTGTGGGCGTTCGCCGGTGCTGCGAAAATAATTCGTTGCGGTGAGAATTTCGTTATCGCTGGTTTCGACTGTAGTTTTCAAACAGGCCACACAGTAGTGTCACATAGCCGTTACGATGCTGATTGGTTGATGCAATCAGCTCAGAAGGAATGATCTGCTTAACAGCTTCACAGTTAAACAAATAAAATAAGCCTTCTTGGCGGAGCATAGTTTGAAGCCCAGGTCCCCCCCCCCCCCCCCTTTCAAACACAGGTCTCCAAACCACTTGATGACCATATTGTTACGAGCTGTTGGAGAAGAGGACAAGGGCATTGTTATTGTTTTTGTAGCCTTGCCCCATGCAGTGCTCAATTGCTGAGCATTTTGAATAAACGCTTCCCGACTCATAACAATATAAATGAGTTGTACATACTGTGCAACACACATGTAAAAGAATCACACCTAGATAGGTACTCAGGAAGGATACAGCATAGAACAAAACTCAATACCCACACATCAGCTATTTATCTACACAAAGCATGTGCAGCAGTTCAAAAGCGAGACGAGAACGTGGACTTATTATAGGTGAATGAGCACCGCACACAACAAATTGAAATCTCAGATATAGCAATGCGCAATACGAACGGCACTCAATATGATCAGAAACAGAACAGGCAAATGGGACAAGAAAGACAGACCGGCACCAAGTCTTGTCCTTCTTTCTAGTCCCGTTTGCCGGTCTTATTGTTTTAGATGAAGCTATGCCATCCAGCGGAAGGCCTTTTAGGGAAAGAGAAACGCCTGCACAAGTAAGCATGCGTCATCTCTTTGCCGTGAGTGTTAACACTGCCCTTTTTTTTTAAACTGTGCACCGAATTAACCTCCCAGCCCCACTATAGGACAAAATGGCAACACACCCACCTGCCAGGCTGTACCAGAGGGCATCTCCATCTGGGTCTGAGGCATGCACAATGGCCACAAGGTGGTCCACGGGGTCAGTCTCAAGCGTCGGTGAGACTTCCACATCATGGACAACCGGTGCACTCCCACTGGTCACAGGACGTGAGACCACGTAAAGCTGCACGTGCGCACTTGCAGGCCAGCTGCCAGAGTCAAATGCTTGTACCTTCAAAACACAAGAAAGATTGTTGCACAAGAATAACACTTCTTTATGTCCGCTGCTACCTAGCAGTGCAGACATATAAGCATCATTAAAACCCCTTTGTTTCAGACAAGCAAGACTCTTGTGAGTACTACATAGAACATCCCAACAATATATTCCTTAAAAAAAAGTGAGTACATTGCTAGTTTATATGAACACACTGCTTTAGAGAACACTTGATTAAATTCAAAATTTTTTCAAAGCAATTCAATGTTCAATTTCTTTTTATCAATCAACATGGGCGGCGAGGATTATAGGCTTGCGGGCCTGACAACCAGCCCCGCCTCTACATACACTTCCACTTCAGGAAGCATGTGGCAATATTTATGATAGTCAAGCCCACTTAACAAACCTGAGCGCAGCATGGCATCTGTTCACTGTATGCCGAAGTTCATAGTAAATGAAACACAGGTTTGATATGTGGGGTTTAACGTCCCAAAAACACCATATGATTATGAGAGACGTCGTAGTGGAGGGCTCTGAAAATTTCGACCACCTCGGGTTTTTGAACGTGCAGCCAAATCTGAGCACACGGGCCTACAACATTTCCGCCTCCATTGGAAATGCCGCCACCGCAGCCGGGATGCGATGCCGCGACCTGCGGGTCAGCAGCCGAGTACCTTAGCCACTGGACCACCGCGGTGGGGATAACACAGGTTTAAAAATGTTGCTAGTGAAAACTCTTTTTTTTTGTACAAAAAAGTCTGTAATGCATGTGTTCCAAAGAGCAGAAGCAATAAGGGTGGTTTCGAGCTTATTTAAAGCGGCAGCATGCTCTTCACCGAGGGCCTTGGCATATACAAGCTGCCTAAGGCTATTTGGGTTCCCGAGAAGCAGTCGCCATTCTCGTCCTGTGGTGTTGGGTCAACAAGGGCACGGGATAGGCAGTCGGTACGTGTCAAATGCCTTTGTCCGAGCTTGTAAGCGATGGTGATGTCGAATTCCTGAAGTTACAGAATCCACCTTGCAATGCGACCTGAAAGGCTCTTCAAGGTAGCCAGCCAACACAAGGCATGGTAGTCGCTCACAACTTTGAATGGCCTACCAACCATAGAGCTAGAGTCAAAACTTGGATGTAGCACATATGATGGCAAGACACTCCTTTTTTGTAGTGCAATAGTTGCCTTCCGCCTTGGATAGCGACTAGCTCGCATGAATGATGACCCTTTCATGTCCGTCAATCTTCTGCACTAGGACGGCTCCGAGCCCTTCGCTGCTTGCATTGGTGTGGATTTCTGTGTCGGCGCATTCGTCGAAATGCGCAAGTATCGGCAGCGTTTGCAGGTGCCGTTTTAGTTCTTGAAATGCTTCCTCCTGAGGTGTTTCCCACTTGAACTTCACTCAAGTCCTTGTAAGGTTAATAAGTGGCTCGACGATGCGAGCTAAGTTTTTGACGAAACACCTAAAATACGTGCACAGGGCAAGGAATCAACCCAAGGCCTCCTTGTCAGCAGGTGGTGGGAATGCAGCCATGACCGCTGTCTTGTGAGGGTCAGAGCATACTCCAGACTTGCTGAAAACGTGACCCAAGAAGAAGAGTCCCTCGTATGCGGAGCGGTACTTTTCTGGCTTCAGGGTGAGTCCGGAGGTTTTGATTGCTTCAAATACAGCTTCAAGGTCCCAGAGATGCTCGTCGAAGCTCAAAGCAAATATGACGACGTTGTCCAAGTACACAAGACAACTCTGCAGCGGACATTATATAGTTGTCCAGCAACCTTGGGATGTGTCCCTTACTAGTGGTCTAACAATAAACCAGCACTTGATTATGAGACGCTACAGATGCCACAGCGTCGTTTGGTCTCTCGAGTCCAGGTGCGTCTGTTCTCATAGCGCGACTCAAGACTTGTGTCGGTTACAAAGTCTGTCACTTTAATCCAGACAGCATGGTCGCCAACACAAAACGTCGCAGGCGCCGAACAAAGACCAAAGTACATGAACTTGAACTCAAAGAGGCCATCTGGTGTTGTGAAAGCAGCTTTTTCTCAGTATCTTTCGCCTACTTCAATTTGCCAGTAGCCTGTCTTGAGGTCTAACGATGAAAAGTGCATCGCGTTGTGAGAAGTATGTTGTGACAAGTACTGTGAGAAGGCCGAGAGAAGAGCAAGTGGGCGAACGTGTTTGTCTGGTGGAAGAGGTAGTTTGGTTGTATGCCGGTTCAAGAGTCTTTGGACCTCGTAAAGAAATCTTCCAACTGAAAGTTTCGAGAAAGATTGTGGACAAGTAAGCCTGGAGATTCTGAAACTGGAAAGCAATTGGTGTGCCAACAAGCTAACTATTTTGATTGCTGGATTGAGTAGTCAAATACGGTGGAACCCCGTTCATACGTTTTTCAGCCGACGAGGGAGGAAAAAACGTAACAGCCGAGAAAACGCAACAGTGAGAAAAACTTTGAAAATGAATGAAAGCACAGGCGCTTCGACTACAAACCATTTCAACAAAGTGAGCCTCAGACAAATTATTCGAAGATAGTTGACCGCCACTTATTAGCTCGCTGGTAAGCACCATGCCTTTCTCAATCATCTGGAAGGCCGCATTGCTTTCAGCGTCGCTATGGTGTGCGAAGTACCTGCGTAGGTAGTCCAGTGCCGTGACGGCTTTTCCAAAGTTGAGGTCGGCGGAGTCCATTAACAGCTCTTCAGAATCGTGTGGCTCGTGCTCAGCATCGTGGTTATTGCAGCCACCGCCTTCACTTGCTATCAAGTTTGCAACGAACTGAGCCCCCCATGTTGCAGCAAAAGTGCACCATCAGCCGGTCTTTGCTGCATTTGCTTCCGTGGCATGCTTCGCCATTTAGGCTTAGCGATTTCGGTAGTTGCACACAAAAGAAAAGGCCTGTTTTGTCAGTACTGTAAATGTCGTGACGCTTGTACCCCTCAATCAAAGCAGATAGTGTGGACTTTCAATCATCGACTGTTCCCACATTCACACTTGCTGCTTCTCCACTCACCATATTGTAAGCGATGCCATGCCTCTTTAGGGAATGGTCAATCCAGCCATTGGACACCGCAAAGTCAGCGAAGCCCAGTCTATCAGCCACTTTCATTGCCTCCTCATGTAAAAAGCTGCCATCGAAGTTAATACCGGCCGCACCAGCTTGCTTAAACTAGATGAGAAGAGCCTCGTCGAGGTTCCCATGCTTGGTACCACGACCTAGTTTTACTTTCGAGCTGAAGAAAGCAGCATTCCCTTTAATCTCGCCACACTTTGAGGTGATGCTCTTGAGCATTGACGGTGGCAGTAAGTTCTTTGGCAATGTCAACCCTTTTTCGCACTGGCTGCTTGACGATTGCGTTAAGTACCCCCCGCTTTTCCTCAAAGGAAAGCACTTTCCGCTTCCGTAATGCTATTAAGACTTGACGAAGATTGCGCTGACAAGTTCAACGGTATTCAGCAGGCTTAGCGCACACAACAAGACTTGAAGACGAGTCACAAACAGTGTTGCCATGTCATATATAAAAAAACCCCAGCAGGAGCCTTAAAGAACCGCTAAAACCGCTAGTAACCTAGCTTATCCCATAGTTTTATACAAACTTACTTGAGCAAGACCTCTCCTCTATTGGCCAGCACCCGGAAAGCACGTTTTCCTTTGTCCGTGTACCCTTTAGAAATCACCGAACTGTAATCTGCCTGGGTGCCTAGGCATCCCCGGCGGGCATGTTTACCTGAGTGTTAGCTTCGCTACCGAAAGCTAAGCCAACAGCGGTGCCTAGTGCTTAAAGTGGTCACCCCACGCAAAGCCGCACTTCTCGTACGCCTACGCGAACGAGGCTTGCCCTAACTCTCGCGACCAGGTTCACTGGCCATCGTGAGAGTGCGCAGCATAGCCCCGAGGGATCTTTTTCCCGACCAGTGTGTCAAAGCTCGCCATTGCCAGCTGCGACATGCTCGCGGTTTCTCTCTATTGTGAATGTCCGCGTGCGAGAGCCTTTGCTCTTCGCGTCCCCCAGCAGACTTGTACTCTTGTTCGGGGTGCCACCAAAGGCAATAAAGTGTTTGTGTACTGCTGTTTAATCGAACACTGTCTGTTTTGTCGCGCCACGCTAAACGCTTTGTTAGATGAGCGTGCGCAGAGTGGTGCGCTACACCCGAGTAGGCGACAGAGACACGGCCCTGTGGCTTGCTAAGCCTCATCGCTACAGTGATGAGGCTTAGCAAGCTTCATCACTGTAGCTGTAGGCCCTACGGCTCATCACTGTAGGCCCTGTGGCTTGCTAAGCCTGATCATTCGCTACAGTGAGTAGCGAGGTCGCCACAATGGCGCACAACCCGGTATCAAAAACTCATTAACCCTTTGATAAGACTTAGCTGAGTCAGCCCGCCTTTGCGAATCAGGCTCGCCGTGTTATCCACGTTATGTCTGCTACGGGTGAGTTTTGTCCCCTGACGCTTTTAGCAGATACTGCAATGCTCGAGAACAGGGCCAGTGCTCCCCTTGAGCATCACAATCCAGTACCCTCTCTTGTCACAAGCCCCAGATGGGATGTTGGGCACAGGATTTGTAACGTTGGGCACCAGATGTAGGGGGTTCGTCCTATGTACGGCTGACGCAGAAGCCTAACTAATGTTCCAGCCGCACACAGTCGTACTATGCACGATTAACGTCCCCTATCCGTAGCTCGTCTCATTTCAGCTACACGGGTTCGGGCGAATAAGGCAACAGGATAGGTCAACAACAACACTTTATTGCTAGGCTTTAGCAATAGCGCGTGAATGTCGCGAGGGGATAGTACTCCTTGGTCATTGAAGTTCTCGGCTCGCAGAGGGTTGCAGGTTCGACCTCCATCATTCCTGGCCGGTTTCAGAAAGAGGGCGTACGGCTGTCCCCACGCTAGTTTTGTTCACTGACCCGGTTTCCCTTTCCCTGATGAGAATAATACCTTTTCTCGCTGAGAGAGGGGAGACCCGTTCTGCATGCCGAGAAAGGGGGATTGCAAGCGCCGGACATGGGGGTGTTCCCGCAACTA